CTCTCTCCCAGAAAATGTAACTAAGGTCTGCTCAGCATAGTTGCAATGTAATCTGTGGGTGTTGAAAAAACAGAAAATGTGCCTGAGCGAGAGTCTGCAATAGGGATTGGCTAGCTGTCCTAGTAGACGAGTATCCTTGAATACGAGGCCAGCTATTATGTATATATATATATATATATATATATATATATATATATATATATATGGATGGAGAGAGAGAGAGAGAGAGAGAGAGAGAAAGGTGAGAAATAGGAATTGGTAGGAAGTGAGGGAATAAGAAACAGATGGAGTGAGAAGGTGTGAGTTGAGAGATGATAATAGCGACTAAAGAGAAATGCTATTGAAGAGAAGGTAGAGAACTTAATATAAAGATATAATGAAATCAATGAAAAGATGTGGGCGGGCAAAGTCATCACGGTCAACAATCAACGTAGGTGTTGGCGAGTGCAAGTCAACAAGAGGAGTGTCTACACGTCAATCTGGACATATTATCAATAACGAGAATCTGCCGTCCATGTCACTATCATCTTCATAGGTAAAACATTCACACTCGAACCATGACTTCCTGATACCTTTCTTCTCCAGCAAACAAAAAATAAAAATAAAACTGACCATCTCATTATTTTTTTCACAACACAAAATTCAACCTCTAACCACTCCATTATCTATCTATCTATTATTTTTGCTCTTTAGGCTTCGAGAAAAAGCAGAACTGAGACTAATACGACCTTTCTTTTGTACCTGGTTGCATGAATATTTACTCTCTATCAGGTCAGAGCGAATGACAATGACTGACTTTGGTTGGATCCCTTTTTTTTGTAATTGAGTTAGTTTAACTCAGTCAGGCAGTAAACTCCTTTCTGTCGTCTGTGTTTCTGCACTTGTGAAATTAACTCCGAAGGGGTTAAATATTAGCCCCGAAGGCAATGATAAAAGTAGGCGGAACAAATCAACTCGACTTTAAATGACATATTTTCACAATCTATCTAGCGGTTTGTCATTGTATTGATTTCAATAAAGAAAAAAAAAAACTATAGACCTAACTGGTGGTTAAAAAGTTGCGTCTTGTGTACTTTTATTTGCAAGGGGTCATCCCGGCTCAAAAGCAAATATTATAGGATTTTTTATTTCGTAAAAAAAGACCCACGAAAAAAATTGTTCAAACAAATGTTTGAAGCCGCATTCAGTTTTTATATAGACACAAAAAAAACAAAACAGACGACACGAGCCGAGTTTAAAAACAGACGACACGAGCCGAGTTTAAAAACAGACGATGAATTTATTGTTAACACAAAAAAATGAGGGAATTACACAAATTAAGTTGCATTGTGCCAAATTATGGCCATTAACGTGTGTAAATTATCAATGAAAATGAAATATGCCTTTTACAATGATAATTCTAATGCGGCAGAAGGTCCTCAGAAAAGAAAACTACATAAAATGAAGAAAAGGAGATAATACTTCTCCAAATAGCTTTAAAGATTTGGTACTATTCTCGAAGAAAAGTTCGTGGTACCAGCGAAAAATAGAACAATCACACCAGCGGAAGACATTTTCTTGATGGAGGAGCGACTTTGATGTTCCTTTCAATTCTCGTCTGATGGTTGTCAAATTTCTTCTGCGTTGTTTTTCGTCCCGGACTGGGGCGACCTGGATCCCTGCAGCAGCTGTTCGTCGATTTCGAAAATTAACTCCAAGCTCCACCCTCCATAAATAAACTAGAGGTAGGCTCCATATACACTTCTCGGAATTTGGAACGAAACTCTTCTATTGGTTTTGGATGAAAAATCAAACGCAGCTGTTTTCCCAGACCAACGCAGCGTCTGCTTTCTTCCTGAAAGGCAGTACGATACATGTTCGAGCAGCTTAAATATTTCATAAGATTTCTTACTTTTTATCAGTCGTAATTAGTCGTTTGTTCATTTGTAAAATCCAGAGTATAATTAATTTTTTTTTTTACATTCGGTCTTATATCCTCTTCTATATTATCATTATAACAACATTTCAGCCGTTTTTCCGCCACTCCGGCCTTCTTCAGGTGCCTCCCGATCTGAGTAAGCTCCAGGGAAGTCAAAATTAAAATATTTAATCTCGGGAGGTATCCTCTTCTCTTTCCGTTGTTCATTTCTAGAGATACCTCCGTTTGTCCAATTTTAGAACACTTCTTTCCCCTCTAAGTATTAACCCTGCCAGAGATTGAACTCACAAGTCTATACCAGAAAAAGTCACGAACCACCGCTATAATCCACTAGCCAGAGAGAAATTATACATACACCCTTGTGCAAATTAATTGAAACAAAACGAATAATGCCGTTATTATTTACTTTTTTTGTATTTTTCAATGAAACATGACCGAATGCATATGTTAGTACTTCATATGTCCATTCCATGAAGTCGTTCCTTGAAGATTGACCACAGATTATCGATTGGATTTAAATTAGGAGAGTTTCCAGACCAGTCTATAGTACTTTGATTTACTCACTGGTAAGGCTTGCCAGTG